GTGCTGTGTAACAGCAGTACAAAACGCATATTATCACGGAGGTGTCTGTGTGTGTGTGTCCGTAGCAACTTTTCCGCAACTTTCAACTCGGGAACCACAAGAGTTAGGAAGCTGAAAATTTAGGGTAACGTTCCCCACCCACGTGTGACCCCGCAAATTTAAATTCAGCTGCCGGTAACGCGTACGGTCCCGTGAAAGTTTTTAACGGATAAGTTAGTATCTCGGGAGCCACGGAGTTTAGGAGGCTGAAATTTTAGGGTAATGACTCCCTGCACACGCTCAACCTTTCCCATTCAAATTTAGCTTTCTCGCGCTCTTGGGTACCACCTACGGTCTCGGGAAAATTTTGGCGGGTAAACTATTAATTCAGGAATCACGGACAGATAGTCATCCTTCAAGGTTTCGAAATCAGTTTTCATGCGCTGGTGTGTGAAATTTTTAACTGTTTTCTAATGTTTAAACTATTTTTGCATAGACTAAAGTACAAAGCAGTGGAAATCATTAACAGGCAATCGTTCGATGGGCTGAATCGCATAAAATGCATGATCGCACCGGCTAGTCTGGTGCGCGTTGCTATTTATTTGTTCTTGGGCACGGAGAGGCCATTGGGTGGCTAGCTGCTTGTGTAGCTTAATTCTCCAGGGGCTTGTTCCGTTGTTCGATGGGGTGTTTTTTGCATTTTAATGATCCTGCCTGTTCGGGTCGATGAGTCCTTGCTGAAATAACTGCTACAGAGGTCCTCATAGTTCGTCATGCATGATGGCACGTGTTTCTACGGTTGCACGAGGGGGATGAATCAGATCTTCACGGTCACTAATTTGTGCGTTCTGTTGCAGTTCTCACGCAGGCGCTGGTTCGCGCGGGTAGCCGAAGGAGTAGCAAGGAATGCGAGTGGTTGCCTCTGCAGGGCCTCTATGAGCAGTAGTAGCGGCTGCAGGCTGTGGAACAGCGACGAGGTAACGCTCAGCAGCACTTCCTCGATCAGCAGAAATTTGTTTTTAACGCCACCAGAAAATTTCTGACCAAATACCACACATCGCGCATTCCTTCCCGAGATATCGAACTCCTGGCTGACCACCAGATAACCCAGCTCCAGCAGCAACAGCATCTATGCCTGAGCACTTTAGAAGTTCGAAGCGATGGCGGGAAATCTCATTGCCCTTCATCGAAGTAAAGCCGATAGCTAGCCATCTCCTTCTGTTTCCTCTTCATAGTACTGCTATTCAGAAAGTTCTCATATAGCTAGCTATGTTCCTTTATGTGTTTCCCAATATGTTATTCGCCATTTTTGCGATTTGTACTTCTAGTTGTGTCCATTTGATTTTTCTTTTATTTTTCACTGCTAAAATACATTTGACAAATATCTTATTCGAAAATAATTTGAGACCACAACCATTGTAATTATCAAAATTCGATTGTGTTTCTCTCCACGCTGGTGAGCCAACAACGCTAAACAGACTGCATATGGTTAACACATAGAAGATTTCAGGTCTCTGTTCTCTTCCAATCTCCATGCCAGAAATATTCATTTGTTTGTATCTTTAAAATTTCTAAAATACTTAGAAGATAATCAAATTTCTCTTTTGAGCGAACCATGGATAGTGCTGACATTCCTGCTGGCCATTATAACTAACAGCTATTTACACACTCAAACAAGGAAGGGCAAATAATGCAAGTAGCTTACAGTATATGAAAATAAATGCAACGCGCACCAGACTAGCCGGTGCGATCATGCGTTTTGTGCAATTCAGCCCATCCAACGATTGC